TAATATTCGTATATAATTCGTTGAAAAACAAATCCTTTCGGTAAGCGTGCGATTTTATGATAGTTATGTTAAACAGCATTAACTTAGAGAATAAAAATTGTTTACAATGCTATAGAAAGGTAAAAAAGAACAGGCAAAGGCAAAGCTAACTGGATTCTGCAATTCTGATAGCGGTCTTTCGCGGTCAGGAATTGAAGCTTAGTTTGCTTAGTGCACGTTCGCAGGTGCACTGTTCGCTGGAAATATCAGAATGAAATGGTAAATAGAAGTCTTTGTCCGTTAGAGAAACACTGGAACTTCGACAAAGAGAGAGGTAACCATGTTTGCGGCAACTACTATTAACGAATGTGAATCCTACGACTGAATTTGTTTAACTATTCTCGAATTCAGAAGAGAAAAATAGTCTCTAATAGCTTGTTCGTTTACGATACAATACTATCGCAAAACTGATTGAGAAAAATGTTTTTGTTGTATTAGACAATTAATTTTGTTATATATGAAACACTCTGTGTTTTTAATTTTATATTCCATATGTGAACAAATCGTCTTTTCTCTCTATTTTAGTTCAATAAATTGTTGAAATTGTTAAGAAGATTTACTATACTCTTATATCTAATAGTTACATGTGTGAAAGTATCAGATATTTCTGACACTTTTATGTGATATAGGCTTTCAAACCAGACACGCCTACAAATCACATCACAGTAACTGTCTGACTAAACAGTTTAAATCTCCTTTGAAGAACCTGATACTTTTACTTGTACGATATGTGACTAAAGATCGAACAAATTTTTTCAACAACTTCAAGAACTATCGTACTAATTGCATTTTATTGGATGTCACTGTACGTATTGCTAGTTGTCATGTTTTATTAAAACCAGAATAGTAAATGATAAAAATTAAGAATACTCAAATCACTAAAATTATATTTTAGGACTGTAAACGCGCTAAGAGTGATAATATATCTGAATTTAACATAATTTGTAGTAAATTTTGAAGCTAAAAACACAGAATTTTATTTACATTCCAAAAAAAGTAATTTCTATAAGTTCAAGTGATACAATATTCTTATAGAAATTACAAACTTATTTTACCGAAATTTGCAAGAATCGTACTGTGTACATATATATGCGTACCTATCGATATCTCACATTGTGGTCTGCAAATAGATTCGGTTTCCAAGCTATCTTTTTGTGCATCGAATAAGCCAGCAAAAAAAAAAAGAAAAAAAAAGAAAAAAGAAACCAGGAGAAAGCAAACGAAGATTGAGAACATCGCAATCCTCAAAAGCAGTCTCCAGAAACTTTCAACATACGCCATGTAGGTACCTGTCTACATTTCCTAGAATTCCTTTCAGTTTGAAATGAAAGGAGGAAATGCTCCTCCAACTTCGCAGCTTTTGGCTTTTGTGCGCAAGGAATTTTCATTTATTTTCCCTATACTTGCTGCGGCAAATGTCGCTAGACACTAACGTCGATGAAACTGCGTGAACGTTAAGCGTTGAATAATTTCTAAAAGATGTTACTTCATATCTGTTTCTCCCGTCCCTATGAAATACGTTTCGGAATCTGTACATTTTTTTTCTCAATAAAACTTAATGGAAGTTTCTGAATCTAATAAAATATTAAATGATAAGTATTAGTATCGATGAAATCTCGATAAAAGAAATCTCGAAAATCTAGGAAATTGATCGTCATTTGGAATAAAATTTTAATTCATCAGAAATTGCATTTCATATATGCTTGTGCATGAAATATGTAGAAATTTCCAAGCGATATGCTACTTCTGTAATAGTAATTACGAATTTATAATTGAGCGGTGTGCCTTATTCTGCTCTCGTAGGATGTATATTTTCTCTTTTAAAAGATTTTTTCAGAAAAACTGTAATTGGTGCCTATAAGAGCATAGAGTATAAAGGAAAACCACGTTCTCTTAATTTTTATATTTTTCTTTGCTTATATTTACATAATAATTCGAATCAGAATTACCTGGAATGAAATGGCAATCTATGGTTCTCATATTATTATTATACACACATCTAGCCTTTTAATCTTAAATATCACAGAATATAACACAGGATTATTTCTATCTCAATTCATATACAATCACAATGTAATTAACAAATAATATAAAGTAACTGAAACGTTTAATTTTCTACATTATTTTTCTGTCCTGGAAGCGTGCGTACACGAAGTAAATTTTAATTACATACTCTCTCATTGGTATGTGTGATATGAGAAGAAACAGTCGAATCTGATGAAAAATATTTCTTCAAAAACGTAGAATACTATAACTGTGTACCTACTTAGTGTTCGTTGATCACTCTCAACAAATTAAATATTATAAAAGAAAGAAAAGAAGAAATATAAGGTGAAATATTTGTTAATACTGTATGAATAATATCTAAATTTAATCTGCCAATTTAACCGCCACGTCATTTTATTCGTAACAATACGTGATCTCGCATAAGAGAATTTCGATGGTGGAAAAATTAAAACGAATCTGCCATAAAAAGCTGATTCTCTGGTTCATAATTCCACTTTTTAGTTTGATCATACACGAAATACACTTTTCATACCTTTAAAGTTGTCGAAATCTCTATAACACCAGGCGCGTTAGTATTTATTTGTTGACGTGTAATCGAGTGACACAAAATCGATGAAATATTTTGCGGCACGATTGCAGCAGTGCGCAGTTTACATTATATATCACATATTGAGGCAACCATGAGTACTGGGAATGCATTTTACAAAACATTTTCGAATTACACTTGATAGCCCGTAGACGATAAAACTTGTATTTTCGCGTTAACTTTTACAACAGTCGTATACTAGGATAGCGATACAAATTGTTTCTACAAGCGTTAACATTCCGTTCTATAAAATCACAAAAAGTAAGCAAATCTAACCGGAAAATTAATAACGACGTGGGTAACAAATATAGATAATTTAAAAACTCATGAAAATGTATTCTTCGTGTCGAATTCGGTGTTGGGAGCTCGTAATAAAAAACAGTAGGAGAGTGGACTAAAGTTTATTTTAGTTACGTTAGAAAACTTTTATTCTACGTCGAGAAAGAAATTTCAACTTTTATAGTGTTTCATTCTAGTCACGTGATCAACAGAGAAGAGCATCGAGTTTTCCATTTGGAACTTTTTGTAAAAAGAAGCTTTTTCGATTTCCTACCAACGTTTCCCATAAATTATTGCCGAGTGAATGTAACTTGAGACTGGTAGTTGGCTAAAAGACAATTCTGTGTGATTGACGTGATAAAAATATTCTATACTATTTTACTATTTTACTAGTAGAAAGTTTCGTTGTTATGGCTATATGAATTCTAGCTTACGTAAAGTATGGCACACAGGCACGTATCTCCAAAACTTTATATTAAGCCCATGATGGAATTGGTATATATAGTCAGTATAGTATAAAATTCAATGTGTCATGACACTGCTACATTATTAAAAGAAACATAAAATGATTTTTAGAAGTAAGAAGCTGTACAAAATATTTTATAAAACTACCAGACTAATTCGTATGAAAAATCACTAATTCATAATTTTTCACAGATTCAAGGTAGTGTACATCTAGCAATTTTAACGATGGTCCATAAAATATATTTTTTTCCTTGCACTATATATTTTTGCATATACCTTTTGTCTAATAACCGTTCTTCAATCGTTCGCAAAGCAAACGTAAGCACGAGGCAACAACATGCACCAGTTAATCCCTGAGGTAGGTCGCGCCAGTGTCCCCTTTCCGTGGCGAAAGCACACAGGGCTTGATTTCCGTGGAAAACATAATGCGGCCAGCTAAAATATCAGTTGGATGTTTTTCACGTTTCCTGAGGGGTAAAACCAGCCCACAGAGTTTCGTCCCTATTCGCGAGGGCTCGAGCGACGTCTACCTACTTCCGTGTAGCCGGCAGCTAGCACGTAATAAGAGGTCTCATCCTGCAGAGACATCAAGAAGCAAGCAAAAGCTCGATTCTGTTTTAATATGAATGACGTATACAGTTCAATTCCTCGGGGCTTTAATAGGTCGAATCGTCGATAATCTGAGTGAACGGAACGTCAGCGAAAAAATACAGAAAAGAGAGAGGTATATATGTGTGTTTGAGAAAGAGAAGAAGCCCGGTGAAAGAAATGATGAGGGGGAGAAAGGAAGTGGTACATTGGCTCACGAAACTATTGGACACTTAATATGAGAAATTTTTATATGCATGTCTTACATGTTATGTAAAACTTGTTGAAATTTTGTTAACATTCTGACGAAACATTTCTTGTGATTATATATATGTATATATATATTAATTAAATTTGAAACCAGTTTGAAAATGTATATAGAAATGGCAGGATATTTACTATAAATGTACTCATATTTTTAGTAAAAATGTAGTATAGAGCAAGAGTAACCACTTTCAGCACATAATAATTAGTAAAGATGGATGCTCTAAATATTGCGGTTCATTAATATATTGGATAAATGGCTATTTAAAAACTTTTCTGATCTCTAGGAAATATATAGCTATATATAATTATATATAAATATATAGTTTTAAACTTTGTTACTATAGTCGTAATTGTCGAGTCTCATAACAGCGCTAATGAAATTTTTAAATGTTTCGTATATCGAACATAATATATTATAAATTATAACATAAGACGCGTTCATAAGTGTTCGGATACATTCGCGAGCTTGTGTACGTTGATCGTAAGAGTGCGTAGCTCAAGTGGTGGGGTGGATGACAGGAACAACGTGAAGAAAAATTGTATGCTTCTGTCTGAATGTGTTTGTATGTACATATGTATAGTATGTTGATGTAGATGTGTACGGTTGAGATAGAATGGGTTAGGCGGAGGAAGCGAGAGGAATTGTCATTCGGTGGAATTGCAATTTCTCGCTGACGCGTGCTGTGCAACCTCCGGCGCGAGGAGTAAAAGCGGACTAATGATGCACACTAGACTTAATGCTCCGTTCCTGTTCTCATTTCCCACAAAGGTGCGAGCTGCCTGCGGGATGTCAGCCTAGAAGTAGTTCCGGAGGTAGTGCAACGTGGTCAGAAGGTGATTCTGCGCTGCCATTACGATCTCGAGGAGGCTCCTCTTTACTCCCTCAAGTGGTACCGTGGCAGGCACGAGTTCTACCGTTACACACCAAGCGAGGAACCGGCTACCAAAGTCTTCAACATTACCGGAATTTACGTTGACGTAAGTGTCAATACACTTTTCTTTCTCTTCCTCCTCTACCTTTTACGTGTAAGCGCGTATCATACCGTGGAAGTAGGGTATTTCCTCGAGAGCAATTCATGGACAGAGATAATAGAATCTGGATTAGTTAAAACTATAGCGTGTTTTAATGCTTGGTTTTGCTAAAAATACTTAGTATATGTTTACCATTATATAAAAATATTTATCAGAGAGTATTTTTATAAATAAAAAGTATTTCGGACCTTTTATAACAATTATATCTGTTGTCGATAAGAAAATTCTGTATATATTTATTATTCTATGAAGAAATTTATTGATAGTACACATATCAAATCCGCAATTTGAATAGCGTTATGATGTAATATTATATCGTAGTGGAATTTTAGAATTTATTTCGTTGTTTAAAAGAATAATAAACATGATGGTCTATGTGAACAAATTTTTTTAATTAATCAACTTTAGCAAATTTAGTAGCATTTCAAGTCATTTATGCAATTTATTTATGAACTTATTTCTTTGATTACTCTTTTCCTTAAAAATTATGATTTCTATTGTATATATTCTTTCACAGTATCGCTTTGATCGTGAAGTGAGAACAATCGTGTGCAATAATTTGAATCAATTAACCATTTAATTGCTGGTAAAAGTATCGGTTGCACATGTTTAAGAGAATAAAGCCAAACAATTAAAAGATTATTCAACTACTATGCATGATACATGTAAAAGATCATTAAATAATTAGATTATTAATATTTATGAATTGCTATCACTATTATCGAGTAACTCTAAACATCTGTGAAGAGTTTAGTATTGAATGAGATGAATAAATAGAATATTAATATGCAAATACAGTTATTACTATAACCATGGAATGAGAATTTCACATGTAAAAGTATTATGAACGTGTAGAAGTCCAGATTAAACAATTTAATAATGTACGATGGGTTTTTAATGAAATTGAAGTATTACTTCCTACCAGAAACGTTTATCTAGTTTGAATATTTCATCCACCTCCTAAACTTTCGGTTCAATTTTATAACTCGAAAACTAAAAGTTTTCTCTGCGTTTCGCGATAGAATGAATTTCTTATATAGCCTGTCCTGATGAAATTTGGATATATTTATTCGAGGAAATTACAATATTAGAAAATGAAACACGCAGAAAAATTAAGGCAAAGACGTTGAAGGTTTAAAAAGAATATTTTAGTGGAAATTTGAATTTTTACTATCACACGAAATATATATTGACATTTTTATTTTGATCAAACTTTGTAGCACACGATATGTTTCGTTAAGTACTTCCTTCAAGCGTGGGAAAGTCAACACCCGTAATGGATGGTTCATGTAGGAGTTTACAAATATGTAAAATTTCAAGAAAATCATTTATAGATAATTTCGTAGCATAGATTATTTCATTTTGACTCTATTTAAGGTAGTAACAAACTAAAAAAAGACTAACGCGATTCGAAATACCTAAAAACATAGTACACAAAGATTTACGCTGAACTAAAAACACCAGACAACACAATCCTTATTGTCCAAATAAACGAAGTAAAAGCAAATTAACGAATTTTCGATAAAACTTATCGCAAGGGACACTCGACGCGAAAGGATTTGACTAAAATACGCGAATCAGCGTGGAAAGCAATGCATTGTTTGCGATGCAATTCGGAAAGGCGACATCCGTGCCTGCATCAATCGTCGGAACAACAAACAACGATGAATGTCAAGTAGAATTAGCATTCCGGATGGCCAGGGACGATCCAAATATGCGGTTTTATCACACGATGCCGGGCGACGCTCGTTAACAGCATCCTTGACCGCTGTAATCTCCGTAAAACAGGTCGCTTTTATCATCGTTCGAACATTTCCGCGCGAATCTCCACGCGTTTCCGTGCCGCATAGGTTTCCAGAAGAACCGCTATGTGTGTACGCGTTTACGCAATTGAAAACAAGCTCGTCTAGCCTAGGTTGTTGTCGGTCCCATGTTTTGCCCATTGAACGAACAATCAATTGAATTTAGACCATTATTTTGTATTTTTCTATGTACAATAATAGTAACTTATTATTCTTAGTAAATTTATGATTTGTGCTTTTCGAAAGTCGTACTAATCAACTCCACTATTTTCATTACACAGGAATATCCGATTAATATTCAATTCTCAAGAAACAAGTGATTTTCTTTCTTAAGTTCATTGATCGCAGGAGGACGATATAAATAATAGTAAACTCTGAGATAGACTTAAAAAACGAACGAAAGTAGATCACCAAATTTCTCGAATATATGTGTTTTGAATATATTGAATAGAAACATTTTACGGATATGTTATGTTATAGTGAATCGTAATGAAATTCGACTATTGCTTATAATAATGTAGATGATCAATGACAGTTTGTGTGTGTGTGTGACATGAGCCGCTCATTTGTCAACTCGGTTAGCTCCATAAAATAATATACCGACAAAATTGATGCAATTATGAAGACATAGTGTCAATGAAGTATCCTAGACTTGAGTATTATTCTAATATTATACTCAAGTATTATATTGGCAGTAAAATTTCAAAAAGTGGAGTTAAACATTTTGGTTTATAAACGCTTCGTATTATAGCTAAAAGAATGAATCCTAACATGAAGCCCAGGGAGTATAGAAGCACCACTTTTTCGTTTATCGTTATAACGCGTCTATATCTATCCTTAGTTGCCCGCTAGCCGACAGTAATGTGCAATGGTTGCGTCACGTGTCAGTAAACGCTCGTCGACACCGAACGAAAAACATTGTTCAATGCGAAAGAAATATCGTTAGGTTGTATCGTTCGATACACTCTACCATGAAATATCGTTCATTTTAACGGTATCATCGAATTTTCACCTTGTTATACACTGTGTCGTCGCAACGAATGGTTTTGTTTTCTCGTTTTTTCTTCCTTTTTTTTGTAGGTGGATAACCATTTTTCTCTTTTGCAAAGGTCCGAGCGTTGATATAACAAGCGATGTGTGGTCTATTGTTTTTGTATATTTGTTTGTTCGAGTTCTTTCTTTTTTATAGAGCCACATAGTGGATCCGTATGGTTCAGGAAAAATTGTTTTTTACACGTTTTAAATGTATCGTGACTGCGACTGGAAGAGAAGTTTTGTCAGTGAACGCTCACTTCGCGTTACTGGCTGCATCGTGCGCTGAGATAGCTTTATAGAAGATTTGTTTCAATATTTGTAGAAAGGAAGGATTACTTTTTGAGAATGATGTGACTATAAGCCGTAAGGTATTATGTTACTGGCAATAACCTATTACATCATTTTGTGTATCACATTGTTGGTTTTCATAAAAGAGTGACAGAACTAGGAAATCAGTTGGAAGTAAAATATTATTTAACGATGAAAACATTTTTTTCTTTAACAATTTAGTCAATAACTAGAACTATGATAAACTTAATGAAATAACAGAAACATACAAATATACAGGGGCATATATGTAAATATCATTTTGTCATAGTATGGAACACTAGTTTTTAGTATAAGTAGAAATCACGATAGAAATCTGGACAGTAAAGACGTGATATTAATAATATACATATTGTTTTAGAAACATAAAGATATATAATTACATGCATAAAAAATTGTATTTGTACTGTAAGTATACTATAACCATATTTTAATAGAAAAAGTAAACAATTAATTACAAATTTTCGTAACTATGAAAAAGTATAAAAATTTTGTTCAAGATTATTCAAGTTACTCAAATTCGAAAAAAGCAAATTGAAATAAGTGACTTGAGGAAAGTAAGTGAGAATAAACGTAGAAACTTGAAAGCATATTTCGTGTCAAGTAAATTTAGTAAATAACAGGTTCTCTCTTTCTTAATTTTTTCTATCCTAAACCAAAGATTCCGTCAGTTGCAATATAAAGAACTATCTTAAGAATTTTTATCAGAATTTATCTTACAAAATTCTTCCGGAAATTCTTCAAGCAAAATCGGATCACAAGAAAATGATTATACATATTCGATCGCTAATAACAGCTTAATAACATCGAAAAGAAGCACGAAACTGTGTAATAAACAGTTTTTCCGTGGCATCTGTCGTGTGCATTCTAACGCACACAAATCAACAAGGGAATGGTGGAAAAAGCTGTGCTCTTTCTTCGGATTCGTTTCTTTCGTCCTCGTTAAAAGCCACCTTTCTGTCCCTTCCTCTTTCAACCGCTGTCTCCTTCACTCTACGGCATGTCTTCTTGCTTCGTTATTTAAATTCCGCTAATTATGCATATTTTGCCTTGCCCATTTCCGATGAAACGATCCTCCGCCACTTTTCCCTAGGGATGCTTCAGCCCCGCCTTCGTTGCTATCTTGCTCCCGGTGTCTCGGCTTTCGCGCGCGTTTCATCGAGTCAATTTACTCGAGTGCGGGGTAATTCCTGATAAGATGACGATTTTCTCGAGTGTTCCCTCTTCACGCTGCCCGATCACCAGAGGAACATTTAATAAGAAAAATAGAACCCGTGCTTTTGGCGCGTTACGGTCTTTGATGAACATTTACGTTTTGCTCTTTGTATTTGTAAGGGAACACGACGAATGTTTAACTCCTGACTCTTTTACCACTACTGACAACATTTTCTGCCATTCTTTTATTTCACTGTCATTGTGTGTTAGTTAGACAGTGAATTTTTATACAAATTTGTATTTTTATAGAAGCAACTACAGGACAGATTTCTTAAATGAAATTGTTTCTCTTCTGATTGTTTAAGCACAGAGATGTTTCCACAAATCGTTCTATCCACGTATAAAGAAATGTTTGACAATGATGTAAAAATTCCATAAAGTACAAAGTTACAATACGAGCATAAAATATTCTTATGAGCATACGATATTTGTATACGTAAAGTATTTTATATATACACGTGATGTTAATTATATAACATTGAATAATCTTGCATTAGATGGAATCTTACGATCGTCACTTATAAATTTAAATATAGATGTTTTATTCTTATACATAGAAATTTTATCAAGGAGTTGATGTATTTCACAGTAGCTGTAAAGGGGAAATATCTAATGATTTGAGATATGATAAATGTCTCTAGAGGTAACAAATTCGAAGGGTATATCTGGATGTTTGAGATATGTAGAGTAGTGATATCGATTATTACGCTATTGGGAAAAAATATGTGAAATCGTTGTCGTGAAATTTTATATTCGGAAATGAAATATGTAAGATGCATTTTGCGTTGGAAATGATATTGTTCGATTTTAGGTAACATATATAAAACCCGAGTATTACGGTGATAGTATATTTTCGTAAAAGCTCCTTACTCTAGCGAATACAAAAGTTTATGTGAAAATTTCAAATCTATATATATAACACAAATTAGTAACATATAAATCCTATTCTTCGTAATTACTCTACAATTTACAAAGACATTGTTTCTTCGTACGGAATATTTTTCATCGAAAAAAGAGTCTGTAATATTATATTTTTAAGATTCCTCTAATATTAATTTAGATTTTTAGATTATATGTAGGTATGTATAAAATTTGTATAGATCTTTCGTGTGGAAGCAAAATTATTATTCAAGATTTCCGCATCATTTTTGCATATTACTTTTTATTTTAACATCAATTAATATAAATAAACAATGCTCAACTGTCTTCGGGCAACGCGTTTAACCTTATCAGATTGAATCATAGAGTAGTAGCATCTAATAATCAATTTATATTACTTGAAAGCTTGTCACGTTGTCTATACATTCGTGAACGTTTTTCCCATTTTTGCAATATTAAGCAAAAAGCTTTCAGCTTCGATTTATTATACAAAGGAATATACACACAGCATGTTGTTAATAGGTAACTTGTGGTTCTAACTGACTAAAGCACGTTGTGGTATTATATTACCTTAAATGTAATTTTAGGAAATTAAAATTGAAGTTTGGACAATACCGCAATAATTTTCAATCTCATAAAATAGAATAAATATAGAATATACGATATTACACAAAAAAAACAACAATAGCATTAAGAAACTAATAACAGAACAATTGTTGCCCGATTAAGTAACGTTATCAAAACTGTTAATTCGGCACGCAAATTGCAACGGGCAAATTGAATTCTCATTGAGCTTGTGGTTCGCTTTAAATAATACGCTTTTGTTTGAGAATTCCAATCATCCAATAACGGCAACCGTTTCGAGGTATAATCATTAATACTAATTTATGTATTAATAGTCAGTGAATACGTGCTTATTCGTACAGGAATTTCGCTAGCAAAAAATCGTTCTGAATAAATTTGTACGTGTAATGACGATTTATATGATTTTATCTCATTGACAGTTTGTACAACAATACGTTATTATTACAATAATAGAGAAATTTGTAAAACCGGATTAACGTAACATTAACAATATCTATAGACCAGGCTTAGTTGCTAATTGATATTAGTAACGTGAAATGCTATTGTCTCTTCCTTTATTGTCATTAATTATACAGTAAATCTCAAAATAAATACCATTTTAAATATGACAAACAAAATTAGTTCGATACAATTTTAATTACTTGAACAAAAATTTTCGTTTTGAAAATTTCAATTATCTTCGTATATGGTCTTTACGAACGTATGAAATTCTTCATTATCACTAATACTTATAGCTAAAACTGTTTTCATACATAATTCATAGAAGTAAGAAATTAATGATTTACCAGGGAAAAATTTGAAAAGAAAATCGCTAAAAATCCAATATTTATGCCTGGCAGACATGATATATGGTATTGCATAAGTTGGTACGTTCAGCAATACCATGGAAGATCTCTTGAATTGATGTGTACACTCTGAAAGTCGGATTTCAAATGTTCTGCAATAAAATACACCAAAAAGATTTAAGGTTAATTCATTTCGTCTCTTGATATTTCTCTTCCATTATGCCAAATTATAAGTTTAAATAGGCTTAACAATTGTTCGCTATACACGCAAAGTAATCTATGTCTTAATTGCTTCGAGTAAGTGCAGTCTGAAGGAAACCTTGGAAACATATTATCCCGCATTGATAAAAATATAAATTACCAACCTAAATTATAGAAAAATAATAGAATCATAGAAATTGAAGAATTGGTATCAAAGTAACACTTAAAAAAAGTGCGAGTCCGTCGAATCAACATTTTAGTTTAATATACCGGTTATATAAAGCGTTCACCGATGTCTTTCATCCGGGTGAGCCGCGAAAAGAAGGCAATGAACCGTGTGCTCGAATCCCGTACGAACGACGAAGAGACGCGTGAATAAATTCGTCAGTCAATCGCTTCCGGTGCGGAAGTTTAATTCGTGTTATAACCGGTCCAGGTAAATCGAGTTATTGTTAATCGCAGAGAGCGAGGGATTTTAATGTTCCGATGGCGGTGGGCGATAACACGTGTTGCCGCAGTTGATATCCATTTGCATTCACTTTGCACACACCTTTGGTCGTTGCTCTGTTTCAGCACGAGAACTCGAACAAGAGCCAGGTAACGCTCCGCGACGTCGACTTCGCTCTCTCGGGTATGTTCAGTTGCGAAGTTACAGCGGACGCGCCGACTTTCACCACCGCCTACGTCTCCAAGAATCTTACGGTAGTGTGTAAGTACATGCTTCATGACATTACAGAGTATCGCGGGGAACTCGACGTATTCAGCATGCTCGTGTGCCTACCCTACGACGCTCGTTGCTCACCACCCTCCACTCCTTTCTTTACCGATGCACGCGACTGACGCGTGTGCGGCATCGTAAGTCACCATCCTCTTTCCAGCTATAGGCTCTTTCACGTGTTTTGTTCGGAATTTCGAATCTTTCATCGAATTTTATTTAACAGATTTTCTACAAGACATTTTTTTGCCTCGTATTGGTATTTTTTCTTGTTCGAATGGGGTACGAGGATTTTTAAGTGTTTCTTTTCCTTTATATGATTAAATATTTTATGAGTTAATTTTAATTCTTAATGTTGACAATTTTTAACATTGGACTGACAATTGTCGTTCAACTACAAACGTATATCGAGTAGATGTTAGAAACTTTACGGCTACAGATTGTTTTATGTGTTTTGATCGGAGTTTGGAATATTTTTTCGAATTTTAACTGAGTTTCGAGGAATTTGTTGGATCGAGGAATCGAGATTGGTATTTTAATTCCTTCTTTGCATGGAAACATTAGAACTTTTTTTAGGGCTATTTAATATTCGATTTGTAACACTCGAGGATTGAGAATTATCGTTGAGCTACAAATGAGTATTGATTACTGATTATATCAACTGCAAGCTGTTTCACGCGTTTCGTTTGAATTTTGGGATTTTTGTTTCAGTTCATCTTAATCAATTTTCTAACGAAATTTTAACAATTCTTTTCAATCTTTCAATTTCTCCTTCAATTTCAAAAAACCGTTGAATATGTTTTTCAGTAAATTACAGCTCTTAAATTTTTTCTTACGTATCACACGACATGAATAATTATCTTCTCTATAAAAAATACACGATTTTATTTGGAGCACAATAGAGCCACATTTCGTACACGCATTCGTATGAATTGTTAAAAAATACAGAGTAGGTAAAATTCAGTACACGGTGCAACATTTCGCTTTAAATTCTTTCCCCACTATTTTTCAATTCTTTTCACCTTTATGTACCAAGATCTATAGCTTAGTTCGCCTTCTAGAATCACTCTATACACGAAACACACTTCACAAGCCTTACATATCAAGGAAAGTTATACTGCAACAATTCAACATAACAAGGCCGTCTCTTTTCTATCCATTTTTTCATATGTTACATTAAATTATTAACTTCGTTACCTCCTTTTTTATGTTGCCCTATCGTGAAAAAATGTTTCTAACCTGTGAAAAATACGACAAAATCATGAATATGCGTGTTTTGTTGTTTCAATTTTATTTTAAAGTCTTTTTCATACTGTTAAAATATTTTTTCATTGCTGAAATTGATAATGCCATACAATGTTCTTTCGAAAAATTTATCTTTAACCTTACAATATCATCTTCATGCTATCGCCTTACAATAAACAAATTCATATAACTAACTCAGTTATCTGATTTAGCTTTTCAAAATATTCGTATCCTCATAGAAACAAAAGAACGGTTGATCAATTTATCCTCCAAATGATTCTAATATTCTTCTCAAAAAAAAAGAAGAAGAAAAATCAGATAAAATCACGTACAATTTCCAGATATAGAATAATAATAGGAAAGTAATTAAAAATTTCTTAGCCACCTAGCCTTAGCCTAAGAAATACTTGATATTTCGTACGAAATCAAACGAACAAGAAAGATGGCCATAGTATTAAGGTTTACCCTGTAGATTCGCATTTTCCCCTAATTGCACTGCGCGCGTGCAAGATTGAATCGGCACGAGTTTCCGCGACAGCGTGCGTACCTCGAAGAGAAAGTTTCTCCTTGATGGTGTCATTAACTCTACTCGCGTTTGATCCGAGGCCAGTCACACCCTCCCAAACCAGTGAATCGGCTTCGTTGTCGCGAACGATTTCATGCACAGCCGTCTGGCTGCTATACGTATCTATGTACGTATACGCGCCGTGAAACTAGCTCCCACGTAAATTCGCGGAGTGTTTCTAATTTCCTCCCGCACGCCACTGTGAGATCAAAGGAGCGCTTTTGGGGTTAATCAGTGCACGCCACAGAGTCGCGAGTACGTTAACGCGTTTCTCAAATTCATAGCGATCTTTTTCTCGTTGCTGTTTTCTTTTTTCTCCCTGCTCGAATGCCAGAAGATTTAATGTCGTACGTGTATCGCCGAAATTTGCCTCGTTCAAGGATGATTGTATGTTTTCAAAGGTAAATTTCTGTTTGCGTGTAACTATTAGACCGGTGTCTATGTTTACGTAAGCTCACATTTCTATGGATAGGATCGAGGAAATGATGGCCAAGCAGAAATTTGCTTCGTCTACTACGCTTTATAACGAGCAGTTTAGTTTGGATGATTTGTATATTTTTGAATATCGTACGCATTACGAGCATTTTTGCACCTGAGAAATTGTGTACAAATGCAGAAACATCCGCACTCTGTGTAATATTTAATTACATTGAAAGTTAACAATGAAACAATATGTAGAATATAGGTAGAAATATAGATAAATTTATCTTATCTATTTCTTTACACATATCTTCAGGAAAATGATATAAAAATGTGTATACGTGGATAGTACTTTAAAAATTTGATGCAAAAGTTGAACATTCTTAATAATTTTGTATTCATGCACGATGTGTATGATTTAAGATTTAATTAGATTCCAACTCCAATAAATTAATTTTAACATTATGGAGTATCAAGTAATTGATTAGAATGCCTTTTTACACATTTAATATTTCGATATTTTTAGTACGTTTAACTTTCATTCATTTATCAAAGATTTGTCGTTTTTCAGTTAATTAGTATTACATTTCCAACTTACCGTTACACATTTTACAAACTGTAGGTTGTAAATATCGACAAGAACCAGTTGAAAGTTTGAAAGTTTGATATTCACATTTCTGCTACGTCGATGTTCTGTAAAACGAAGAAAAAGTTGCATCGATCAGTAACGGAAATGTTCGTTAGTTGAGTTCCGTTACTTCTTTCTTCTTTTTTTTATTTCTCTCTCTCTTTCTGGCTCATGAAAGTTGATTGATAATTATGGAAAACTTTTAACCTGGATTAAAGCAATTCGATATCGTTGCTTCCTTATTTCGTAAGAGTGAAATAGCCACGTGTCAATTCATTCATTGTGGAAGCTTAGTTAAAACTTCAAATCAGAGAAGTTAATAGAAACTTTCCGGCTGAATATTGCGTGCGTAAATATTAGAGCAGAGTTTCGCGGAAACGAATATACGAGGACTAAGAAAGGCTAAAGTTTCCCAAAGACAGTAAATACGAGAAGATTCACGAAAGGAGCATTGTTTCAGACTTCCCAAAGAGTAACAGTATGACGAACGTGATTTTTGAAAATACATTTTCGCCGCTAACTGCATTTGAAATTATAGTAAATTCTTCTACCAGAATTTCATTTTAAACATATTATTGTAAAGAATTATTTTGCAAAATTGAACCTGAAGGAAGTTAGTAAGAAAAAGTCGAATTTAATAAAATATAGCATCTCAATAGAGCAATTCAATCTGACAGATCATGTGACATATCAACGAATAAAATGTAGCTATGTAATCATAATGAGCCTACTTTAGTCAATCAGTATTTCAGTGTATCGAATTCAGCTACACAGATTCCAAGTGACTTGATTCCAATGAGTCACTACGTTAATTAACTCATCTAGTTTCTCAACTTTTTTTTGCACGTGGAGAAATCCTCATGGACACTCCACTGCTGCTAATAATCGGTAACAGCAAAAATTATCTAGTTTCTTAACTAATTAGTTAACAAGCTGATCTTAAAGCATCTTGTAATAAATAAACTAGTCAGGGATTTAATGTACCTATCTACTTAAATTAATTTTAATTTAAATTTAGCTATACACCATTATGTTAATTTTCTACAACGATAGATGATGTACCTATCTACTTAAATTAGTTTTAATTTTAATTTAGCTATACACCATTATGTTAATTTTCTACAACAACAGATGATATATAGTTACGTATCAATTTTCGTTTAATATCAGAATACTTCCAGGGAACAAACTACATCTAAAAGTGAATAATTAGAAAATTATTAATTTTGGTGTTGGTATTATTAAATTACTATTATATCTGTTGCTATTTAGTGCATTATATATTATTAAGTTACTGTTATATCTGTTGCTATTTAGTTCGATGTATACTGTGAGTGATCTCATGAATCAGACCCAAATCATGGACAAATTTTTTGCAGTCTTGTATATAATTTATCGTGTATAAATGTGGGATAGTGTGACACCAGGGAAGGACGTGGGGTGAGGGGTAATTGTTTATTAGTGTTGTCAAGATATGTTGACGTTGTCAAAGAGTGTTATGAGCGTTACAAAGGTATGTTTGGGAAAAAAGTGAGCATGGAAAACATTGTCACGAGAGTTGAGAGAGTCAGAGTTGAATTTATCGTTGTCGTGTGAAGATCGTTGTGTTGTTGTGTCGTAGAAGTAGTGAGTGACGAATACGTGAAACGGGGTATTATATTCGATTTCGTGTGGGTGCAAACGATATTGTATAAATCATACTGTTACCTACAAACTAATAATATAACATTCCTACATAAATTTTTCAGTAGGAAATTATGAAAACAGTATAGTCAATTAATAACACACTTTTGAGAACTCACTACTACTCTGTGATTTCTGTATATGATTTTTAATAAATAATTCACGGAATTTACAAATGTTTCCACAAAATTCTATATTTGTGAAACGAGCATTTTATATCTCGTAATGTTTAGAAATTAAATATAATACATTACGTATCTGATCAAATCATCGACATCTATTATTTTATTAAATGTTACATTCTTCCCTTTTTTTATTATCATGAAATTTTTCTTTTTCAACAAATATCATCAGTCTCCGTTGTACGTTTATTTCTTTCAATTTCTATTTGGTGATATCAAAGGAAATAGCTTTGAAACTACCACTCACGTAACCATCGACCAAATACCATTG